GGTCCCAGCGAGGGGGCTGGCTTCTCCTAGGTGCTCACCAACACTTTATACAAGTTCCTGAAGCTGTGCAGTTATGCTTTAGGCATTTTTACGTAAATGATGCACATTTCCAGCCAATAAAAAGCTTGAAAAAATTGGCAATGGTACATATTCAAGAAAGTTCTTGGCAGCTTTGTCTGTAATGACAAAGAGCCACCGGCCGGAGTAGAGGCGGAGGCAGGGCAGGTTATGGCAGAGCCGGGCTGTGAGCATGGGCCACTGTCCAGGGTGCGTGAAACACCAGGCACAGCACGATCTGTTTAGTATGTTTTCCCGTCTGTGAGGAATACATACAAATATTTACATGTACATATGCATGGGAGCACGCATGGACGTCAGCACAGATGAGCTCTGGCGCTGGGGGATGGGCGATTTCACCGCCTTGGGTTGTTTTTCCTTTTTGTTTCTACTTTTTTCTAAAAATGAAAATGTATTGCTTGCTTGCGTCATGAAAGATATTCAAAAGGATAAGAAAAAGGCCTGTCTCTGTGTGTCTGAACCGAGCCGGTTGCCATGGAGACTGGACGGTTGTCAAGGCAGCTATTGGATGGGCAGGGGGGGCTGCGGGTGCTTCCTGGGAGCCGAGCTGGCACAGCCCGCAGTCTGCACTGCGGGGCCGGCGCCAGCATGGACGGAATGGACGTGTGGGTCAGCACCTTAGCCCAGCTGATGGCCAAGAGGAAGCCAGAGGACACCTGGGAGCTGGTCCTTGAGGAGAACCTGTCCTCCGGGCATCTGGACAGTGGCAGTTACGAGTACCGGCTGAGGGGGCTTTCCAGGTTTGGTGGAGGGTAGGGGTCTCCTGCCGGCTCCCGGGAGGGGAGGGGGCTGAAGGCTGCTGGGCCACGGGCCCTAGGCTGGCCCCGAGTCCTGAGCCAGGCTGGGCGTGACCTGGTTCTGAGGGGTGGACACAGGGACATATGTCTGGCCTGGTCCAGTCCCCCAATAGGTGGGTGGGCTGGGTGCTCATTCTCCCTTCTGGAACGTGGGGGACAATGCCTGCCCAGTCTGTTTCAGTGGCAATCTCAGACCCTGCCTGGCAGGAGAGGACCCCTGGAGCCCAGTGGGTGCCCTGTCCAGATGCGGGCCCGTGGGATGACGCAGCCGCCCAGGCAAGGAGGACTTTGTCTGCTTCCCGAGGCCTCTCCTGGTTTCCATGGCAGCACTGACAGGAGCAGGGGATGGGCAGGGCCATGGTCACCACCCAGCTCCGCAATGATCCAGGCTGGAGGGACCAGGAAGCCGAGGAGTGCACGGAAACAGCGCAGCCCAAGACAAGGAGCACATGTGCCCCGCCTGGGCTGTGGGCGGGTGGGAGCCCCGGTGGTCATGGATCACTACGCGAACCTCCATCTTCATTGTCAGGACGACAGCTGTGTCAGTCCAGTGGACGACCCAGCCCTGCAGGGTCCCACCTAGCCAGGCACCCTGAGGTGGGCTGGGAGGGGGCGCCCTAGGGACCCTCAGGCCCAGCGGGTGGTGGAATGCCGGCTTTCTCAGGTCTAAGAAACACCTTTAAACACGCGCTACTCCCACAGCCAAAGTGAAGAACTGCTTTAGGAGGCAGGTGGTGGGGCGGCCACACATACAGACCTGCGCTCTGCAACAGGGTCGGGGCCACCTGCAGCCTGTGAAGTGTTCATTAACTAATTTACGTAAAGGACGCTCAGCTCCCCGGCACACGCTCCACGTGCGGGCGTCCCTGGCCACTGTGACGCAGATGCAGGGCAATGCCCCTGTCACGGAAAGTTCCACCGATGCCCGGAGGCAAACATGCAGGGAGACCTCACACGAGAGCAGGTTCCCACACCTGCGGGCATGTGCCTCACCGGGGTCACCTGTCTGGGACCCGAGGGCCTGCCTGCCTGGCCCCGGAGACCCACAGGCCTGTGGCACCGGCCCCTTCACCATCCAGGGAGCCAAGCAGCTGCTTCTCCTCTTCCATGCCGGGGGTGGGGCCGGGCCCCCTACTCACATGCTCAAAGCCAGTGTCACACGGGTGCAGGGTGCACCCTGCCATCCAGAACCTCTGCTTCCCCCTCTCCCCACACTTCTCTGCCTCCAGCACTGTCCCCACCACCCACACAGCCCCCAACTTTATGTCCCCCTTACCTTCCTTCCCAGGGTGGGCTCCTCCCTCCACGGACCCACTGCCCAGACACCGCAGACGCCTTCTTTCCTGCCCTCGCCAGGACCCACAGGGCTGTCTTTAGCTTTTGGTACCATTTCTTCAGGGTGATGAACAGCGACAGAAAAGCAGCAGGGTGACCCCCCATAGGTCAGGCCAGGCTTGGTGCCAATCTGACGGAAAGGTGTCTGGTGCCAATCTGATGAAAGGTGTTCACTTTTCAGACTCCGGGTTGCAGGCAGGGGCCAGGCACCTGCATCCTGTCCCTGTACAGACAGGTGCTCAGGTTCATGGAGCTCATGCTAGGACCCTCTCTGGGCCGACAGGGCTGAGGGCTGTGGGGCGCAGGGGCAGGTCCCCATCCCCGCCACTCACTTCTTCCTCCCATCTCCCCCCACCCCCCAGGCTCCAGTGCAACCGCTGCCAGTGGGGCTGGTCCTCTGCCCACGTGCACATCCTATTCCATGTGCGATGGGACAAGGACCGCCACCTGGGGCTGGTGAAGATGCGTATCTGGGCCCAGGCGTGCCAGCTGTGCCCGCCGGATGCCCGGGGAGACTGCCAGGTG